GCAATGGAAAAAAGAACAATTTGAGCTGCCCACCCCCCCACCCTCCCCACTGCCCAGATTTAAAGATTTACCACTGATGAATTGTATTTGAGCTACTCTCTGCAACCCTAAGGATGTCCAATGGCTGAAGTCACATGGCTTGGTAGCAAAAAGGACTAGGAAATCTGGAAGAAAAAGATTTTTGCCCCCCACCAAATGCCCTACACATAACTACTGCAATGTTTGACGACTTAATGAAGATTTAACATAAATGTTATGCAGAGCTGTGTTCATGCAAAAATGTTGTGTTACACATTTAAGCCATGGTATGTTAAAAGAAATTCAAACCAAAATTACTTAACTCAGCACCCATGAGACTGTAGTGATGCAGTATTAGCGACACAAGCTTGCAGCTCTTGATCTTAATGCAACTGGTTCTCAGTGCTCCATTACAGGTTAGGGGATCCCAGACGCCAAATAAAGATATTGGGTAATTTGACCTAAGAAAACCAAAGGGGGAAAGGGGCACACAGACACAGAGGGGACTTCTGCAGAGGACATCAGGGATAATTTAAGCTGAAGCGCAGAGGATCGAGACTTCATTCAGGGGGAAAACACTCGCGGACAGCTTCCACAGATGGCTTTGCATTCAGAGGCAGGCGAAATCGGAGTGGACAGACGCAAATGATCTGAAACAAAGAGTGATCTACACAACACACCCACCACACAATATTTGGAGATTTGGGTACTACACTTCTTACAGTTTGAGATGCAAAGCATTAGGGCCCAGTGGCCAAAGAGGAATCTAGTAAAGCATTGTTACAAATGATTTGAGGATAACAAAGCTAGTTCAAAGATCTCACATTGTCAACTCCAACATTGCAGAAGTTCAATTTGACAAATTTGCCAACTCTTACTATTTTTGTGGTAGTCTTCATTGAGGCTTCAGTTTCTGGAAAAAGAATGGAAGGGACAGATCCAAAACCACCTAAAGCAACACATTTGCATTGCTATACTAAAAGAGCTTCTCTGTGCAATGCACATTTAGTCACTACAAGTCACACAGTTGCGTGACTATTTTTGGACTGAATAGTCTGCCACATGCACAGTTGCACAAGGGCCAATGACATTTCAGTGTATACACACTATAACCTGACTTGTCTGACCCAACAGCGGGTTTCTGGAGCTCAGAGGCAGCAGTCCAATTTCCTTGGCAGAACCTGATCCTCTGGACACTTCTGTAAAAATGAGAAAAGATACCCTGCCCACAACTCAAATCATAGAACTCACTGTTGTTATCCTTACCAAATGCTTTACAGCAGATATCAGAATTAGCGTTCCATCAAATCTTAGAATCAGGAACAGATTCACTGGTTTTCTTAGCAAAATGACTTTCAAGTTCTGGAAGACTAGCTTGCACTAGGATCCTCTTGGGATCATTTGTCTGCATTTCAAACATTTGATGGGACTCCACTTATCTGCCTTCACTTCCACTTTGAATAGACTTCAAGCCCCGGTCACATCCGTGCTCAACAAAGCTCCAACTTTAAGTCATAACCTGAAAAGCATAAGAAAAGCTCCCCACACAAGCCCCCCCCAGAAACAAATGCATACCAAAACTGTATTCAGTCACAACAAGCTATGCATTTATTATGCAAAAAAAATCCTTTACAGATAGTTTACTCATTGTATTGTAAATACAAAGCTCCGTAACTAATTGCAAAGGACTAGCAATGGAGGCACTTTGCCAGACAATGAATGTTAAACTGGAAAACATTTAGTGACCTTACGTGATGTTTGATGTGCAATGCAACTTGTACAAATAATGAGTTCCTCATGACCTCAGGATATCGGAGCGCACAGGACACAGCACACTGAAAAAATGCAAGAGAAGACCTCTCCCCACAATTCCATACCCAAACAAAAAACTCAAGACAAAACCAAAATGACAGCAATAACGGATTCAGCTACTTAGCTCAGTAAAGTCCTTAAGATTAAGATCTTACAGCAGCAGAACAACCCTGGGCCTGAACGCGAAGGCTCCTTCCTTTGAGGTATTGGAGATGTTGCTTGTGTAGCTTTTAAATAGTGGGCCCTTAACTTTATCTGAAAGAGTCACAAGTACAGATCCCCCTCCCACACCCAAACAAGACAAAAAAAACGAGTTGTAAAAATGACAAAGACTACTAATAAAGAGACCAATTACCGCACTGATGGGAATAACAGCTTCTGGCTACATGTTGAAGACTATGATTGGAGTGGCTACGCTGCGAGGTGTGTCCACTTGGTTCTTGAGGCACCTGGGCGTTTCCTAATCATGCCAGTTTGCTTAGGGGAACACGAGCTGTAAAGTCTAGGGAGAGACTCATTAACTCCCACTCCCCGCCCGCCCCCACATTACCCAAAAATCGGAAAATCCCTCAAACACAACTGTACAAAATGTGGTACTTGACAAGATGAAATACCTTCCTACAAGATTAAAACAGGATAAGAACGATCCCAATCCACAGCACTAAGTAAAAGATGAGCGCAACTTGTACCAAGGAGATACAACAGGGGCGATGCTTTCTTTGGTCAGCTTTAAGGGTGCAGGCCTGAAAAAAGAGAACTCGAAACACTGTTTAAATTCCCCACCCCCACCCACTTCTACTTCATAAAACTTTGTCAAATTTACAGGATAGCTACACCCACATGTACACCTCATGCTTTAACTCACAGCTGGTCGCTCTAAATGAAGCGCATGTGTACCAATGGAAGTGCTCTCGAACACTGAAGAATGTCGAACCAAAACCTCTAGGGGGTGTACCAGGGTGATCCACACACACGACGACCGATAACCTTGGAGGGAAGATCTACAGAACAACAAGACCGCCACGCCTTTAAGCCGGGGGGAACTACTTCGGTTTGGAGGGGTAGAGACGTCCCAAATACAGCTGTTCCTCTTGCCACCACACTATCAAGGCATTCACCACAGCAGAAACCAACATTCACGTCACCGAAAAACAGGAGGTCGAGGTACAACACGAACTACGCGGCTTGCCTGTGAAAAGGAAGAGAAGAGCTGTGCGAGAAATTGTGTTCTTTAAACATTTCCTAAATCTCTAATATTGCTAGTTACAAAAATACCTCTCTACCCAACATACAAACCCAGCTACTTGTGAAGCTACGAGATCGCACCGTCCCACCCTCACTGCTGGCTGGTTCGATCTGGGATAGCTGCTACACTGTCCCTCTGTTTTGGCTCTCTGGTGTACCCCGGAAGACTGGTAACAGCTGGCCTCTGCTGGTCCCATCCCTTCTGCTGTGCTGGTCCCTTGATCCTCCCTCTACGTGGCCCTCTGGTCCTGTCCTGCCTGGCTCCACTGCAGTCCTTCCTCTGGTCCTGTCCTGCCTGGCTCCACTGCGGTTCTTCCTCTGGTCCTGTCCTGCCTGGCTCCCGGCCCGGTTCCACGCTGGTCCTGCGATGTTCTAACTACTATGTCCATTTCCCCAATAACTCAGTCCATTCCCCAATAACTCAGTCCATGTACCCCAGTTAAAAAAAAAAAAAATCTTCCCAAATTAAAAAAATATAAAGATCTTCAATCTTCTTTAAGCTACATAAAAATGCAACCAACATTCAAAACTTCCGCTTGCTGAATTTTTACTTTTCCATAAGGTTTACTGATTACGTCAACGAGCAACTATGTGGCAATGTCAGCCTTAAGTAAAACAAACTAAAATAAAAAATACGTAGCTTAAAAATATGCTCATTTTAAGATCAAATCTTTGGTTTAGTTTCGATTAAACACTTAACCCCCACTCAAAGTTTTTGTTTTTTTAAAAAAGCACAATAGTAGTAGCGATCACAATTAAATGCCAAAAACGAAACAATATTTAAAAACGTTGTTTTAAAAACCGTCTTTGGTAATCTTCGTCGAAACACTTTTTTTTTTTTTTACTGCGTCATTACGCCATTACGTGCTAAGCTAAAGACGTTAGGCGTTGTTTTTCAAACTACCCAACCAGAATCTATTTACAGGCTATTACGTCACGGCTCCCATTTTACAGTAGCGGTCGTCGACCGTGAACGGTTTTATTTTAAGAACGACTCTCTTTTCAAAGAGCATTTTATATCTACATATATATCTACACGTACGGCATTTGTAACGCGAAATCTGCTTAATATGTTCGCTATAAAATAAGCCTGATGTCAAGTTAACAAAGGTTATTTCAGCGGGCTAAAAACAAAAAAACAACAACAAAAGTAGAAACTAGATCAAAAACTAGAACAAAACTAGATGAAGCGATAACTCCAACTAAATAACAAAAGCTTGTCGTTAACAGAGTAAGTTAACCATCTGCTTTGATTTAACATTAGGCCTCCACGATATTTCTGAAACAGCGCCACATCGCTTAATTTACAACTAGAAAACCCAATTCAAGTATCGAATTCAAAATCCCGTTCATATATCTGAGTATTCTATAAAGTAAGACTAAAAGCAATCAATTTATGACAAAAACGTATAAAACCTGCGCGGCAAAAATCGACGATCAGCATCTCATCAGCGCAGTCTAGTCTGTCCTGAAATGGCGTCGTTCACTTCCAATTTATACACAGCCCGGCAGAGGACAAATGGTGTATTCATCCGCGAAAGAAGGAAAAGTGGACTATCTTCTTAACTTCTTTAAAAAAAAAAAAAAAAAAAAAGCAAGCCATGAAGACATTTAGCCAAGGGGTTCGGATAAAATGACTTAAAGTGAATTAACCCTGTAACCGTCACAATATTTGTTTGTTTTTTGTGTGTGTATAGCTAAACATCATATTTCGAATGCATTAGAGTAAGACAGATCGTACGTCATTTGATTGTTTAAAGATAACCCATGGACAACGTATCTAAAATAAATGTAGTAACACAGCTTACTCAAAGAAGAGACAAAGAACAAAATGTATTTTGTATTACGTCACAAAATAAGATCTTGGGCGGGGAGTGATTTCAGCTTTGCACAGCACGTCCTCTCACAAACCGGTTGAAACCAGAAAGGAGCCTGTCGGAACTACTTTCCATCCTCTGCAATGGGCATTTGTGAATATGTTTTTTTCTTGTAAATGAACCAATTTTCGCTTTTTACGCGTCGATGGATAACAGATTTGTCAACAGCACGATCACAAAATATTCAGTATTACATTTGATAAGTTACGTGTTGAGTGAGAGGTTGTAGGGATCCCAGTGTTTCTACTAACGTTTCAATCAATAATACCTTCTTTAAATCGAACATAAGGGAGTAAAACAAGAAAACAGCCATAAGAAAAATCCAACTGTTTCTGGTAAAATCTAGAAGGTCATGGTGGTTGTCCAATGGAAAAGTACTTGATTTTAGGTGTAGTAACAATTTGTAATAACCAGAGGGCGCAAGTGTCTCCAGTAGGCTGCGTGCTTCAAATATTCTTACGTCCCGACTGTATAGTGCGGGGCGTTGGGTGCAGGGTGTTAGGTGCGGGTGCGTCCCTGACATGCCCGATCATTCCAGTCCCTCCTGCTGTTTAGGTTACTTGTAAGCAAAGGCATAACTACTTCTAACAGAGACGTGTTCTAACAGAGACGTGTATGGGCATCTCTATCATTACGTAACTTTGAAGAACAGGCTAAGGGCAGGCTCAGAACTGAACCAAATGATTTATTGATAACTTTCAGGAACTGATGTAGCACCAAATTCTGGGCTCTGGATACAAAGCACCTTTGTGGGCCCAACACTATGTTGTCTAATAAAAACACACATTACAGACTTTATGAAGACCCCTCGTTGCACTGTGCTCTGAGTACTTGCACCCTCCATGAAGAATGTTCCAAACTGTGGTTTCTACTTCCATTGATCATATATTGGGTCAGGGGTGAATTGCTGACATTTGTGGGTTATATGTGCATCACAAATTGGGAATGTGTTTTTGATTATATTGTGTTGATGATGCTCCAACAGATGACAGGCCATTTTAGACACATAAGGACGCAGCATTGGGTGTATGGAAGAACTTAATTTTGGTATGGATCTGCTGCAGGGTGTTTGTTCGATTGCCTCCTGTGTTGTGAGGACAAAGGTCTCTTGCTTCCTCGGTTCAGTGAGCAATTAGTTACATCCGTTGTGATAAAAGCCAGGCACGGTCAGGACTTTGCAGTTTTCCAAAGAAGGCCACTACAATGACAGACACGGGGTAGAGTCACATTTATAACATGTTCAAGGTGTTATACAAAAAAATATTTTAAGAGAACAACATTGCCTGCTTATGCACTGGAGCTCTAGCTAATGGAGAAATATTTTAAGCCTGTTTATTGTCCTTCTGAACTAGACAAGAGCAAGCAACATCAGAGCCACCACCATCAGGAGACACGGGGAGACAGGTAGGACACATTTTTTTAATGTTTCTGATTGTTTTAAATTATTAACTATGAAGTCTGATTTATTTCATGAAGTAGATGTTTACATATAATTCTATTTTTTTATTTTTTTATTGTAGATACCTCACTTGTGGTTACACTGGTATAAATGACAGTTTTGGGCAGTGCTATGAACAGCACTATCAAAACAGCATTGCTCATTCAGGTCCCCACTGTGAAGATGAGTTTGTGTATGATCAGTCCTGTACCCAAGTAACTTTGTCAAGGGCATCTTCTTCCTCTCTCTCCTCTTCCTCTTCATCATCATCCTCCACTTCCTGGTACACAGAAACAAGTGTAACTGACACTTTTACACGTCATCATGGAGAGCGACCACAACATTCCCTCTCCTGTTCCAATATTCATGATGCTCGCAGATTTTACCAGCTAGACAACACGACTGATCCCATTGTATTTGCCACCATAAATCATGGAAGCAATGGGAGTATGTGTAGTGAAGTGCATAGAGCTAAGGGAAAGCCGATATTTGCTCCTCTTGACCGTGGCCATAGTCAAAGTGATGATGGATTTCTGCAGCAGGATGAAAGAAAAATAGCAAAGAGCAATTTAAACCGTAGCCTGGGTTTTAGTGAAGAAGACATTATGTTGGGGGTCTCCCAAGGCCCAAAGAGAACAATATCTTCCAGCCAACTCCCTAGCAAAGGCATTTTGAAAAACAAGGAGCAGCCCACAGACATCCGTAAGGCTAAATCAATGGAGGTTCTATCCCCAAGAGTTGCTAAGGAACAAAGTGTATCAGGACATAAAGCGAAAGATCTTGACATAGAACAGGCAAAAGAAATGTTTGTTCAAGAAAAACTTAAATTTTCTGCCTTTTTGGATGAGATTACCAAACAGGTTATTAGTCCATCTGATCTGCAAATCTTGGGTTTGAATGCCAACCAAGCTACAAACCTGGTCACTATGAATGAAACATCTGATGTCTCAAAGCCCCAGCTTCCACCAAAGAAAAACAGAGATAGCTCTATAGAGGTGAATGAACAGATACATACAAGTAAACATGTAAAAGCAGCTGCCAACAGCAGTCGGACATATTCTGACTCTGGCCAATCTGACAAATTTAGCCCTTACACTAAAATGAACCACATCGGCAGCCCTCCTCCCCAAAGCAGTCATCACCAAAGCAGCCGTAAGAACAGAAGGCCCCCCTCTTCTGAAACTCTAGAATACGGGCAATCTACTTTTCTCCAAACTGATGGAACCAGCACCAGTCCTGAGCTCTGTCAGACAAGACATCGACATAAACCACAACCTGCTCCCCAAAACTTTCTCTCTCATGAACAGCATAGAGCCTCAACCACAGGCCTGGGCTCAGAATCCTCATCCACCAAATCAGACTCATCCCGGACCAGAGATACCGTTTCCACAGCAACTAGCTCTGAACAAAGTGGCTGTTACCATTCACCACATGCAGCTCTTTCTGAACGTCGAGTGAGTACAAATTTGGGATTTTACTATGAAATCAACATCACAAGTTTTCATCTTATGACTGAAAACCATATTTATAAACCATATAAATGGAAGAGGTACATTAGCATGTGTATTGAAAGTAAAGTGGGCTGACGCAGGAATGCTGCAGTGCTGTTGCAGAGGCTGAGTCAGACTGTGGGGGATGGGTCAGACTTTATTCAAGATGAGTCATTCTCTGAGTGCAGCTATTGTAAAGGGAGTAGCATAACAAGCACAAGACAGTATTGGCTACTGTGTACATATTAACAACCAATTCAAATCATTGTGCATTGTTACGCATTAAAACACTGATTGATTATAACCAACCCTATTTTCAGAGTGCAGTCTACCATAAACAGATAGTTGGTTGATTCAATCAGTCACTTCCTCTGTAATGGTGCCTGACCCACCCTGAACTGACTCTTTAGTTTGTGCTGCACTGCTGAAAAACAAACAGCCTCTGAATATCTATTCAAATATATTTATCTATGCTTTATAAATTCCAGGGCTACATAACCCCACACCATATATCTCCATACAGTCTTGCACCACATGGAAATATTTTTAATGAAAACTATTTTAGTGTTAATATTATTACATCTTAAAAAATGGGTGGATGTTTTATTTTTCAATAAAAGTTTTTTTTTTTTTAGAGTACCCGATGTGAAGCTGACCATCTTCAGTAAGTACCTGACTATGTAATCTGTGTTATTTTCTGTCAAGATGAGTCATGTTAGACTTAGACAATCTTTATAGTTCCACAAGGGAAATTATTTGGAGAGAATCTGCTTAATATGACAATGTGCTTAATATGAACTATTACATATAATTTACACTTTGTGTTTAGGGCACTACAGGAGGAGAACGCAGACCTTCAGCAAAACCTGCTGCAAACTGTTGTGTGCATAGAGAATCTGGAGACTGAACTGCAGAACACCAGGGATGAACTCGTCCATGTTAAAGAGAAATATAAAAGGTTTGAACACATGACTAGCACAGCACAAGTGAGAATCAAACTGTAGGGAGATGGTCACATGTGTAGCTTATTGATTTGGTGCTGCTAACGTGCCACTAAAGGGCATAAGTCCATAAGTAGTGATGTATACACATACAGTATAATGGTACTATCACCCTGGTGACACATGGTCAATAAATAACCGTTGTGTAAAATCTATTATCTAACACATCTTTTATGGAATAATTGACTACTGGAACACACAGTTGTGTAGACTAGTTGTTTATGAACAAGTGCCAAACAAAATGTCCCCCTTCCTTGAATACAGAACATTTATGAACTGTAGATTTTATTTCTGCACCTAACCTGAGCTGAACAGGAGAACATGCTTCTCATTTTTAATACACTAGTGATATTATATTGGATTTTCAGATGTTTCCTGTGTGCTCTCAGTTGTTACCAGATTCCCTGTGATTAAACTGTATTTTGAAACTCATGTTATGTTGTATGGATTCTAAAGAAATAATTATTGTGGAAAACACACACTGAATTGTTTTGCAGTCTCCTTGAGTCTCACAGTGGGACACAACAAGCCAATCACCTCCTCCAAGACCATTTGCAGGCTGAGGTGAGAAATGGTGGGGGTGGATGGGAATGGGGGTGTCAGACAGAGACTTCTTTGTTCTCATGCGAATGGAGAGTATACTGATACCATAATGCGTGTGTCTTTAGGCAGAGACTCTGAGCAATGAAAGGCAGCACATGTTTACTCGCGTGGCCCAGCTGACTTCAGAGCTAGAGGAGGCACACAAGACCATAGCGGCCCTGGAGAACATTAATGCAAGTACACTGCCATCTTCTGGGCACACTTGAATGGTCTAATTCAGTGATTCTTTTCAGATAAAGTACCCTACCACCTAAGACAATAATATGAATATTTGTGTAACACCAAATCTAACCCCAGTCTATATCAAGCCATATCATAGCCTATACATGGGCTAAAATTAGGTCTGAAACAAGACTAAAGCCTGTATAAGACAGGTCTAAATAATACTTTACCTAAAGGAGGACAAAAATATTAATAGATTTGTATGAAAATAATGGACCAAATACCACTAGAGGCAGCATTGGAGAATTGAGAATGGTTATGAGAAACACTGGTCTAATTTATTGTCAGAATTATGAGAATATGTTTTTTACAAACTGACCATTTTAAATACACATGAATGCTCACAAATTCTTGCTTAATTCCAGGTGCCACATTTGATAAAGAACTTATTGGAAAAGCACCTTTTCTGTTCTGCTGGGACCAAACAACAGTTAACATCAACAGCCACTTCATTCAGCCATTTGGATTCTTCTCCCCCTAAACTAGATGGAGCCTCACGTGATTGGTTGCCGAAATCAGCACAACAACAGCGACCCACTGCCTTCAGTCTGATCACACATGGACTGACAACAACAGAAAACCAATGTTGTATTCCAGGCTCACTCACCCCTTGCCCCTCAGAATTCTGTACAGCTGATGTCAGTGCTTTCTATAACAAAATGCCTACTGGCCTAGCTACGGGATCACAACCGGTCTGTGCACAAGCACTGCTGGGCAGAACCACAGCTGACACACCACTACCAACTGTCCAACAAGCCTGTGCGGGAGGTGACAACTGCACTGCGCATGAAGGGGTGAAGGTTGTGCAAGCAGAGCCCGCAGTTGTGACGGCCATGTCAGCCCAGCAGATTCTCAATGATTTTATGCAGCAGCTGTGGGCCCAAAAGGAGGCAGACAGAGAAACACAGCAAGGCGAGTGACAAGGAGCAAAAGCAAAGTCAAAAGTAATGATTGTGTGTGTATATAATTTCAGTGGTTCCTGACCTCTAAATTTGTTGATTAACCCCTCACCCACATGGTCTATTGTAAACAGCCTTTAGTCAAAAATGTCCTTCATTTAAAGTTTAGAGAAGTAACAAACTTATATAACACTTCAGCTTTGTTTTAACATATTTAATAAATATTTCTAAGTAGCATTTTAAATAAGTAGAATACATATATTTATTACAACATTCTTAAAAGATGAACTGATGTAACGTCTATCCATACTATTTTTTTCTTCCAAGCCTGAATAAATAGGAGCTTGTTTCAGAGATTAACAGGGGCCCTTTTACATAGATGGGCCTAATATGCAGTGAGGCAAGGAGCAGCTGAAACTGTGTAAAATACTCAATAATATTTTAATAGTGTTATTATCTTAACGTCTTAATTATCTTAACGTTGTAGTTAGTATAACTCAAACTACTTACTGAATATTATTAATCTTATGTCTTAATTGATGTTCAGTGAGTGCTGGTAGAAATTAGCAAATTTGCTATAACCTAGCACAAGCATTTTCTCTTTTGATTTAGTCAAAGAAGATTAGGTTTTTATGTAACTGTCCCTTATAAGTAAATCAGTTCAAATTAATTCCAAATCATGTAAATGTTGTGGCCCTTTATTATCGACATATGTAAACATGTACGTAAAAATGTGTAATGAAACTTACTTTATTTGAGGCTATATGAAATCATATATATTTTAAGGGTATTTTGATTTTGCTATATGTCATAACTAATTCTGTTAGCAGTGTAAATAAAGTTTATTCTGTGGTATTCCATGTATATTACCCATAAATAAATAAATAAATAAACAAATAAATAAATTAGATATTATGTGATTCATTATTAGTTGAGACATTGAGCTGAATATTGAGATGCAATATACTGTAGCTTACCTAAAATTGTTAAATAAATGTCAAATATTTTTGGCTATTCAGCCCACTCATTTGCTCTAGGGAAGTATATACTCCAGAATGGATTCATTCCAAAAAATAAAGCTGTCACTGCTCGTCATCATAACAGTGTAATCCTATTGCACCTGTCCCATTGAACTATTACAATTATTTGTCAGGTGTTGTTGTCTGTATTGATGGAGTGTGACTTTGTCATGATCATTCTTGACATATAAGACATATCATATTGGGTGTATTAGCATTACTATTCCCATTTATAAAGTAACAAGTAACTCTAACAGCTAAAACAGCCCAAACTCAGGTTGTGTTTCTCTCATCCACAGTCTTGGTGGAGTAATTTGAAAATTAGAGCACTACAATATATGTATTTATATTAATTCAATAATTTTACCAATTTATCCCAGTGTTTTGTAAATATATTAGTGTATAAACTAAAAGGAAACATTTGTATTTATAGTATCTGTGCTGTCAGGTAGGTACATATATATCTCTACCAGGTTCCACCTCTCCCTCATGTCCATCATATTAAAGTTTGCTGATCAAACACTGGCCTGCTTTCCCATTGGCCCATAGACATTAATAGGATCCTAAAGACTACGTTGAGTGGATTAGGGTTCCAAACTCTCGT